GTCATTTGACACACCCCTATCCAATGAATACTCTGCAGTAATGGACATGTATACTAGAAAGTGAAACGTCAAGGAGATCAGGAGTGCTGAGAAGGGGAAGTAGCTGCCGAGAAGGTGAGATCTGAAAAACACCTTGAAGGACTTGAGGAGGTGTCCCATACACTGGTAACCAACTACATGTGACATTTGAAATGTGGCTGGTACAACTGAAGAACTGAATTTTTAATTATATTTAATTAATTTAACTAATTTGGTTTCAATAGCCACCTGTGGCTGGTGGCTACTATAATCAATAGTATGGATCTAGGATGACGAGGCATTAAATGTGATGGCAGAAGTCAGGGAGTTGTGCAAGCAGACGAGCTTACATGTGTAGAGCTCCTGAGGTTGGAGGGAGCACTGTGTATTTAAGGACAAGACAGAAGGCTAAGGAAGCACCCTGAAATGAGGTAGCAAAGTTGGTGAAAACCAGACCATGCAGGTGTCCCAAAGGTCATGTTAAGGATTTTGAGTTCTGTCCATATAATAGTGTGGTGCTATTGAACAGTTGTAAGCAAGAGTAACACAATCAAGTTAGCATTTTAAAAAAAAATCAGCTTTTAGAAGAACAAATTGGACTAAGAGCACATATGAGAAGATCTGATAGGTTCTTAGAATTGTTTAGACAAAAGATGAAGGTATGTGATATCAGAGATGGAGAGAATTCCCAGATTTAACACAGCCTGCATTTAAGTTACCACCTAATTCCCAAGGAGATCTGAGGAAAGTCCCATAAGTCCGTGGGTCTCAGTTTTTCTTTTCAACTCTAAAATGGAAGTAACAACCCCTTCCCTTCCTACCATGTTGGGTAAGACTGTGCTTTGTGAGCCACACAGGTTCTGTGGATGGAAGAGCCTAGTGAATGTTATTCTCAATCCCAGGTGAATACTCCCTCTTCCACCCCCACCCCCTCTAACCATCTCTCATGTAGCTGGTACAATTTAGAATATAACAGTACTTCACTGGCTTCCCATGTGTTGGTTTTTTGTATTCAACTAAACTCTTTCATCATTAGGGGTAAAAAACTTTTTGCACACCTCTCCTGATATATTCCAGTGGTTGGCAAAGAGCACAGCACACAGCTGGTACTCAGTGAATGTATGCTGAGTACATAACACTCAACAAATGCATGTGGGCCAAGATTCCTCCAGTTGCTGCTTCTTTATAGAAGTTGGTGCTATTCATACACTAACTTACAATGTCCTTGCTTCAGTGGGGTGATTTAAGACTTAAGTCTCCAAAAAGAGATATGTCTTTAAAATTAGGGACTGGGCCTCCCCTGGTGGCGCAGCAGTTGAGCACTGGGCTGTGAAGCTGCCAGCAGCCTCTGCAGCACCGGTTCGATCCCCGGCAAGGGTCCCACATGGCGCGCGGACCTCTCCTGCAGTGCCCACTCCTTCCTCAGCAGTGCATTTCGTCAGTCTGCCTGTTCTGTTCCCTGCTCTGGTGAATTCTCTCACCCTTCCACACTTCTGACTGTACCCAGTGCTTGTATAAATAAATAAATAAATCTTTAAAATAAAAAAAAATAAATAAAATTAGGGACTGTGTTTACCTGCAGTACTTGTGTGTTCCCACAATAACACTTTAAGTATGTGGGTACCAACCCAATAAAGACCTGTTAACTCTAGGGGGAGTGGAGAGGAAGACAGAGAAGAGGATTTAGAGCCATTTCACTAGGAATCCAGTCCTCTCTTTAATACTTACTAGTTTCAGGGCCTCAATATCCTCATATGTCAAACTGGAGGAATGAAAGTGCCTTTGTAAGTCACAGAATTACTGTAACATTTACTTAAGATTGAGATAACAATGTTTTTTATTTGTTTCTAGTTCTAAGTATTAGAACTAGTATTATATTAGTATTCAGTAATAATTTTACTAAGTACCAAATTTGTGCCAGGTATTGTGGTTGATGCTAGGGGTATAAGGGTGAGCTCATCAAGAGCTCAACTCATGGCTTAAACATGGATAAACAAATGAACAATGAAAATACAGCCTGATAAGAGTTAGATAATGATGAAAGTGTGTTCTGGGGCAGCAGAGAGGACTGTGTGCGGTGCTCTTTGCTAAGCAGCGGAGCACAGATGGGAGAGGTATACAAATGTTTCATGCCTCTAAGGATGACACGGTTCTGATACACCCAAAACCCAACACTTAGAAAGCCAGTGAAAGACCATTTTGCTTAAGTTGCACCAGTTACATTAATAACAGTTGGAGGGAGAGGGAGCAGAAGAAGATTCCAAGGGAAAGAAGAGCCTGTTGAGGTCATCAAAGAAGGCTCTACCCAGGAGGAAATACTGCTTTACAGCTTACCTTAGAAGGACTCAGGACATGGGCAGACAAGGTGAGAAAAGCACAGTCCTGACAGTGAAAACAACAGTCGTTTCATTCATTTGCCTACTCAACAAAATATTACTTGAGCACACCTCAGGGGAAGAATTCCAGGGAAATACAGATGAACAGGAATGAGCCCTGTTCAGAGAGCACATATTTCCACATGAGTAGCCAGCCAGATAAAATCACTTCTAATTCATCATGGTTAATACAACAATCAGGGTAAGCTCCAGGCTCCCCATATGGTAACAAATTCAAAAAAACTTCAGGCAACTTAATACAATGTCCAAGCAGGGGTGCATGTGCAGGGAGAGGAGGCTGGAGAGGGAAGCAAAGGGAAAAGCACATGGGAACACCAGCAAGACCAAGCCTTCCCTGCATTAGTCATGTGACCTTGGGCTGAGGACTTAAATCTTAAATGCTTCAAAACTCATTTCTTTCAGCTCTAAAACAGAACAAAATCTGTATCAAGAGTTTGTTCTGAGGATAAAATGAAATACTGGGCATAAAGTGTACAGATAGTACCTGGCACATAATTAGTGCCCAACAATTGGAAGCCACCGTCATTATTGCTGCAGGAGTTAGCAGCAGTAGTGACAACTGCTGACTTGACTAAGGAAGGAAATAATCTCAGACAACGTGAAATGCTCAGACAATGGGAAAAGCAGTACAGCTGCTCCCCAACTCTTAACTTCCTGAAGTTCTGGAGCAAGAAGAGGCAGGCCAGGATGCATCTTCAGTAACTCTGAAGCAGAGCTTCTTGAAATCTTCCATGAAAGGAACCTGAACCAGATGGGAAATGAGTGAATATTCCCAAGAGATGCCTCCCTTTATCTTAGACATTCTCCTCCATACCAGATATTTCTCTTATCGCCACCATCATAAAAAGGACCATGCCTATTTATTCCAAGCACTGTTACAACCATTTTATATGCCTTACTCATTTAATCCTCATAACAACTCTATGGAGGTAGGTACAGCTATCATTCAGTTGACAGATAAGAAAACTCGGGTAAGAAACATTAAGAAACTTGTCTAAGATGTCAGGCTAATAAACGCTGGAAATGGCTTGTCAGTCTAGGCGCGTCTGGCTCCACAATGTGTGCTCAATGCCATGCTACCTCTCTAACCAAAAAACACTTCCCTCCTTAAGCCTCACACCAGCCATGAGTTGGAACAGATGTGTCATGCTCATCCTCTGCCTTCTGGCGCATGGCCACACATCCAAAGTCCAAGCAAGAGTAGCAGCCTAAGACCCAATAGCCTTATCTGGGTTCGCTACAGTGAGACAAAGGCCCAGAGCACTCATGCAGCTAATGGGGCTCAAAGAGATGACAAGTCAGCCACCACTGGGAGATGATAAAAAATCTACCATTAAACCAAGCTGTACTTAGAGCAGACCTTTCTTAAAGAATCTTTTCATTGGGGGATTATATTTTCTTCTTGACAATTTCCTTAATGGCAAGAAAGGCTATATGTTAGAAGAACAAAGGAGACCCAAGGGCAAAGAATAGAAGAGTCTCCCCAAGGCGGGGGCAGAGAGGAGGAGGAAAGATGAAAATTAAACAGGCAGAAGAGAAGATGTATCCCCTCTTTTATTCCTACATAATGCTCCAGTGCTGCCTACCCCCAACTCCTCTCTCTGCCTTCTTCTCCCAAGGCACTAACAGCAGCCCCAAGCTCATTAAAGTTTAAACCGACTGATCAATACGAACAGAATGGTGAATTGTCCATCTGCAAATTACCAAGCCCTTCATGAATATTTAAGCACCTAAACTAGGAATGGGAGAAGAGAAAACCCAGGACTTGATTTGCTCACCAAAAAAAGGACAAAAGCATCTCTGTTATTTCTGATCACCAGGATATAAAACTGAACAGTCAAGAGAAACTATAAAAATGACGAAATCTTGCCCGATATGCTTCCCTTCCCAAGCCAACAGGCCAATGCCCATCCAAGGTCACTGAAGATGAACATCCCGTATAGTGTTTTGCCCAACCTCCTCACTTTCTCCAAACACGTCATGTTCTCGTTCTACCATGCCATGGCACATGCTGTTCCCTCTGCCCACAGGGAGGTTCCGCTCACTTGCACACCTCGAAGGCAGAATGATCCAGTGACTAAGAGTACAGAACTGGATTCAGATTCCTTAGCTGCCAGCCTTGCCTACTACTAAATGCATGAACTTGGGTAAGCGGCCCAACCTCTGTGCCTATTTCCTTGTCAATAACATCAGGCAATAATTAATAGTACTACCTTCACAGCATTGGTGTGAGGATTCATGATGCTTGTTCACACTTTTACATGCCATTGGGCACGCAGGGAAGGCACAACAGACGTCATCTATGATTATCAGCAACTTCTTCCACCTCCGGATGGCCCTGACCAAATCCTGCCTGCATAGTCCCCATCTTTCATGCTGTCTACCCTAAGCCCTTCAGGGGTAGCCCTTTCCTCATCTTCATCAGAGACATTTCATTATTGGTCTGTGTCACTAGACTGTACGCCCCTAAGAGGGGACTAAGTCTAAAGGTACCCCAGCCCAATGCAGTCCCTGGCACCAGGTGACAGGTCACACAGCTGGCAGGTGGGAGCAGGCGAGCAGACACAAGGAGAGCTATACCCATACCTTCGTGACAACGCAGCAGGCAGCCCAGATGTCCTCGGAAGACTGCTCATGGTGGTTGAATTGAGGCTCCCACTTCTTAGTGGGCTGCTCTGCAAAGGCCACAAGGACGCCCTTCTGATCCACCAGAGCTGCACGGACACTGCCTGTCCCAACGTCCACACCCACATAGTAGCTTTTTGATTCTTGATCTCCGCTGCGCATCATGATCCCGCCACCTGTGGTGGTCAAAGGCAAAACCACATAAACCAGAGTCAAGCACAAGACATCTTGAAAGTGGATATAAACACTGAGCAACTAACTAGCGGGGCAGTTATTTATTCACTCAACAAAAATGGAAGAGTTTAATGGTTACCAGAGGAAACAGGGAGAAAGGAGGAAGGGATAAGAGAGAGAGGTAAATGGGGTACTGACCTAGGTGGCTGGGTGGAGGGTGAGTGGAACAGGTGAGAATAAGAAGTAAAAATGTAACCCCCAAATTAAAACGGTTTAAATAAATAAAAATGGGAGGGGGGATGGTGAGTGTTAACAGTGTGTCAACAGGCACGGAGCTAGTGGGGGAGAACCAGACAGGCCTCAGACATGGAGTTCTCATCCTTGGAAGGGAGTAGATGAGATATTAAGCATCTATAAACAACTGATTTATTCATGCAAAGTCATGATATAGAGTACAAAGTGCTGTAAGGGTAAATAAAGGGTAACAGGAAAACATAAAATCCAGAAGGAATAGACAGACATTATTCTCATTGAATTTAATTCAAAACAAGGAAAGCAGTCATGGTACTGGAAAGGATCCTCATCTTCTGTGTCAGTCATCAACAAATTACCTACTGAGCACCTATCTGTGCCAATCACTGTGGAAACTAACACATTGCCGTTACTCCTAATATTCTGGAAGGTAAATATATTTTTATTTTACAGGTAATCCAGGTGAGATTCCACGAAATATGTGACATTTTGCTTAACGCTGAGTCCACACTTAGGAACAGTAAATGCACATTATTATGATGAGCATTACACTGATGGGGAAGCAGGCCTGAGAAGTTCAGGAATTCACCCAGCCTCCCTCAGGAGCAGCCTGGGCCCACAGTTCCACAGTCATGTACTCCCAAGTCTCACACTCTTTGCAACAGTCAGCAGTACAGGTTTGCAGAAGAAGTAGATATATTGCAGCAATGCCATGAAATAACTAGGAATTGGGAAGGAGCCTCCAGGGAGACAGGATCAGGAATTTGTTAGACAAACTGTTTTCCTGACAGACTCCTCCTGAGTTACAAGGAAATCTGACCAGAGAACACTCAGGAATTCCTTGGCCTCCACTGCCACTACAATTCCCTTTGGCCAGATTAGCCCGCATGAACAGAAAACTCGTAGAGATTTTCATTTTCCAGCCTGGTCTTTCAAAGGAACAGAATGAGCCCCTAAGACAGGGCACTGTGAACATACTACAGCTCCCCCGGGTGAGCTCGGGGCCGAGCACCCAGTCTCATCTCAACCTCAGTGGTATCCTGTACCCTTGCACTTCAAAGTCACACTTGGGGATTCTAAAAGGAAAGCAGTCAGCAGATGTTCTGTCACTGCTTCCTGGATATTCATCCCAGTCAAAAACAGCTTCATTAGAAGTGATTGCTTGAACTTAATCCCAGTGGTTTCCCACTGCATTTGCCCCCTTTTGCTTTCTGGCCTCAGTGCATTCTCACATTCTCTCCCTCACTCACAACCCTACACCAATTTTCAAACCATTCATTCCTCCTTTCATTTAACAGAGATGCCTTTCTTTCAAACACCACTCTAAGGAAAAATTAAATAGATCAAAGAACCGCTGCGGTGGAAGGAAAGATCACCCTTGTCCCACCTCTCACCCCACCCCCACCCCCTTCAGCAGTCCCTCTGCTGGGACTTCTGCAAGAACTCGGGATGGCAGGAAACCACTGGCCAAGGGCTGTGATCTAGCCTGAGGTCTTCAGCATCCCAGGCCCTCAGGAGCCTTCACCTGCCGGCTGCCAGTCACAGGTAATGCCACCATGCCCTTTCTCACGCCAATCTCCAGACCCTCGCAGGTGCATCAGGCCACTAGAGGACTGCCCTATCACCCACAGCCTTTTCCTCGAATTCCTTGTGCTCTTGTCTGCCTGGTGATCAGGGACTTCACATTCAGACCCAGCCCAACCATCACCTCTCCAGGGAAGACTTCCAAGACCTTCTTTGTCCCTTACTTATATTCAAAGGATGCCACCAGAGCATCCTGACCCCACTTTGAAAACTTACTATTCTGAATGATGGCATTTTTTGCTTCCATGTCTGTCTCCCTTACTAGTCTGAACCTAAAAAACAGAACTTACTGATTTCTGCATCCCAGCTCCGAGCACAGTGTGTGGTAATAATCAGTTGTCAGTAAGCTTTACTGAGTGAATAACTGAATCAGAGAATCAATAGAGAGAAAGATAAACAGGTTTCTAGTTCTAATAGTTTGAATTCCTAAGTTTGTCCTTACATACACCAATATTTTGTCTTGATTCTAATCTTTGTAGGCTCACTCATTCAACATTTACTGGATGCTTACAAACACACTTTATGAATTCTAAGATAGTCATATTTCAAATTTAGCTTCTCTAAAAATCAGAGTGATCTTACAATCACTGGCATCTTATAATTTATTGGTAGCATTTTCTTTTTTTTTCTTAGTGGTTTATAAAAGTGATGCATCTTGCATTCAGTGATGGATATTCAAAGAAACGAATACTGTACCAGACACTCTGCTAAAAGCTAAAGATATAGTGATGCACAAAATAGGTCAGTATTTTGGTTCAGAGCTTGCCCAGGTTTTTACCTGCAAATAGGAAGAAGAATGACCAGCACCACCTACCCTACTCCACGCCCTCCTCATCCCTAGCTCTCACTTTGCTTGGGATTCTGTTAGGTTCCCAAAGTCTCCACTGTGAAGCAGCCCCGGGGTGCTGCTCCCTAACACCAATTTTGGCATACTAACAACTCTTTACCCTTGACTAGAACTTTCTAAGATTATCCTAAATGCTTTGGGAAGAAACACTGATATAAAGAGGAAATGAAGAATCTATATACACTTTCTGGCTTACACAGATCTGGCGAGACACCACCCAGGCCTCTCTCCATTCCTGCCAGCCCCTGCTCCTCGCGCTAGGGTTCACTTCAGACTGTCTTCCTCTGCAGGGAGTTTATCACCTGTCTATTCACTACCCAGATATTCTGATTCATTTCCAGGAAAATCCAAAGCAAGAGATTTGCACTCATAGGCCTATCCCAATTCTAGTTCGGAGACCACCTTAGCTAAAGCAGAACAAGCCCATACAGAGCCCCACATCGTATAATAAGCAGAGCTTTACTAATAGAATGTTAACTCCCTTGCTGCCCAGTCACAGCTGCCTCCCCAGATCAGCCCAGTGCCTGGCACATAAGGGAACTTAACATGACTCTGTCTCACTGGAAACCCTTAAACCCATCATTAGGGAAATAATGAAAGGCACCATGTTTTCTGGGTATCAAATACTCAGCTAAGCAGATTGCTTACACTACCACTTTTAATCCTGACATGAATCCTTGAAGATAATTGCCATTATTATCCCAATGAGGAGGAAAATGAGTCCTGGACAGGTAGAGTAATTAATTGTTCCACTATGCATATAACAAGTAAAGGAGAATGATCCCATTCCCTCTGGCTCTCAAGACCCTCACCATGTCAGGATGCGATCCTGCCTGATACAGGTTCATTTATTAACTGTTTGACAAGGACCCTGCTAGATGTCCCAGCCTGCCTGGACCAAGAGTGGTAACTCAGAAACCAGGCTGTCTATCTTCAGAGACTGAGCCTCTTCCAATGCCAGCCACTGCCTCTCTTCAGCAAACCACTCATTCCTAGAACACATCTCAAAGGCATCATTCAGGAAGAGTCAAACCCACAGCAGCAGGGTGGCACAGGTGGAACCAGGTGACATCCTGGTTCATTTATTTTTTAAGAAACGGATCCTAATTTAATATTCAGCTCATCATTTCCCCCATTACTATAGTTTTAAGCGTGCTCTTTGAGATTGTTTCCACATGTGGACCCTGAAAGCACGGAAGTAGAGAAATCCAAATCCTTGGGCATCTTCCCTGAAATTCAACACTGTGATTTACAGAAATTCTGCAAGATTGTCTACAACTTAGATCCCTGGCTCTTCTCACTCTTGTCCTTTGTTCTTGGGTCATAGGTACTATCTGTTGTGTCCTGGACTCCAACCATATTCAACTAGTTCTCTTAGCCTCAAAAAACAAAGCAAATGGGGCCTCCCCAGTGGTGCAGTGGTTGAGTGCTGGGTTGCCAAGCTGCCCGCAGCCTCTGCAGCGCCGGTTTGATCCCCAGCAGCCAGGCGAGGGTCGCACATGGCGCGCAGACCTCTCCTGCCACGCCCACTGCTCCCCTCAGCAGTGTCCTCCATCCATCTGCCTGCTCTGCTCTCCCCTCTGGCTCTGGTGCTTCTTTTTTTTTTTAATTTTCTAGAGGCATGTCTTATTTATCTATTTGTTTGTTTGTTTGTTTGGTTTATACATGCACTGGGTACAGTCAGAAGCCGGGAGGGCGAGAGAATTCACCAGAGCCAGAGCGGGGAGCAGAGCAGGCAGAAGGACCGAAGTACACTGCTGAGGGGAGCAGCGGGCGGCAGGAGAGGTCTGCGCGCCATGTGGGACCCTCCTCCGGTGGCTGGGGAGCAGCCGGGGATCGAACCGGCGCCGCAGAGGCCGCGGGCAGCTTCGCAACCCAGCGCTCAACCGCTGCGCCACCTGGGAGGCCCTGGCTCTGGTGCTTCTGACTGTACCCAGTGCTTGTATAAATAAATAAAATAAAATCTTTTTTTAAAAAAAAGATTTTTAAAAATAAAAAAAAAAAACAAATGGAAAATATCTTTTTCTGATTTTTTTTAAAGGATCAGGATTCTTCTGTGTGCCCAGCACCTTTACACATGTGTTATTCTCATCTCACTAACACCCAATCAAGTGGGTAAACCCATCTCCATTTTATACTTCAGTGAGATATGGGAACTTGCCCCAAGTCACATAAAGAATAAACAATAGAATAAAGATCTGAATCCCAGGTTTCACAGCCAGTTTAGGGTTCTTTCCACAACACCAACCTGAAACTGGAAACCAAATCCTTTGATCGGTTTCTTCAACAGGACCAACTATACATATAGCAATAACTAGC